GCGCGTCTAGATTGGCCACGGACGCTTTTCCGCAAAAAGTGCTTTTGCGGAAAAGCGTCCTGCCAATCTAGACGCTCTGTTCCGAAAATGCCTTTAACAGTAAACTTTTCCATTAAAAGCATTTCCGGAAAATCATGCCAGTCTAGACACAGCCCCCCTGTCTGTGGCAGACCCAGGTGCCCCACATGCAGGGGCTGCTTCAGCATCCAGAGCAGTGTTTGCCAGCAGCAGGTTCAGGCTCCCTGTAGGCAGGGGCCACTCCAGCCCCGTTGTGGGCAAAGTGGGGGGGGGGGCAATTTGGGCTGCAATGCTCCCCACCCTTCACCTCCCACTCACTCCCATTTAATCAGTGAGCAGGCTAAACCATAGGTTTACCAATAAAACAAGATTTTACATCCCTGCTTTAAGCCACCTTTGTGGTGTTTGCATCCTGGGCTTTTCTGGTGGCTGAAGGTAGCCTTGGGGTATAAGTTACAGCAGCCTTCATAGGGCTGCCCTATGGACCATGCAGTTGGAATTCTGCCATGCTCGATTCCTGATGTGTCCCTCCAGCCTTTGGTTGTGATGAAGATGCCTCTGTTTTATTGAGGCCTTGGGAGGTAGCCTTCCCTACCTGCACTTGGTGAATCCTCCCCTGGTCTGCTGTGGTACTTTTAGAGCATCTATGTGTTGCTCTGGCTCTCCTGTGATGTAAAGAGCCAGAGCGTGTTGCTTAGGAGCTTTGAAGTTTACAATATTGGAAGTTGTTAGTGAAGGGAGAGGGCTGGTGCATTCTTAATATACTCCTATGTGCTAGACGTACTATGTCCTATGTGCTAGACGTACATCCCTCCCCCACACCCACAGCATGGGTATTTGGGGGGGGGGTTCAATTTTTTTACAAAATTTGAGGGGAGAAAATTAAACACTGAGGGCAACAATGTAGTAATTCCAAGTGAACAAGCTACAACTGGCCTAAAAGCGGAAGATGGAAAAAAACCAATTTAGTAAATCGAAATGCATTATGTTTCTACGTTCACATTTACATTAAGAGTGCTAGTAAGATTTCCCTCCGCACAGGCCATAATCTTATAGGAAGCTTTGAACTGACAGAGAGGATGCCGTAAAGTCCTTGATACAGAAATGAGAGAACGTCACAGATTTAATGAGTCAAATGGAAAGATTGCTGGGTTTTTGTTTATACCTGATAGTAATGATCTGTCCAAAATCCAACTCATAATTGTTTACTTGAGCAATAAAGATTGCTGCTACTGCTTCATATAGGGCAGTCCCGTCCATATTGATTGTGGCCCCAACAGGCAGCACAAATCTGGCAATCCTTCTGTCAACATGGTTATTCTCCAGCAAGCACTTGAAAGTTATAGGCAGTGTGGCTGAGCTGCAAAACATCCAAAAAACAAACACATGTTGAAAGCTATTTTACCTTTAGGGAATAATGTTAAAAGCAGCCAACTCCCCTGCATATAGATCATATTCAGTGCTGTTCCATCCAAGTACTATTTCCTATTTTCACTTCTATGTCTGCAGAGGGGCTGACAGACTTTCCAGGCCCCTTTGCAAAGTGGGGGGCCCTGGCTCATTGCTCCTGAAAGGGGTGAGGCCTTGGGCGGAAAGGGTGGGGCAGGAGTAGCCAGCCCTCTGCACCGCCTGGAGTGTGCCATGCTGGCTCCCCCATACTCAGTCAGCCCTGAAACCTTCCCATAGCACACTGTGCAGTGCTGCAGCAATGATATACAGGGCCTGGGATGCCAGCTGCCACCATGCCTGCAGAAGCAGCAGCGGTGGTTAAGAGCCCTGGGCTTTTTTTGAATCGTGGGACCCCAGTGCTCCCCCCCGTTGGCAAGTCTGTGTGTCTCATATGTATCGGGCCCAGTCTGGCTTCAGTGAAGTAACAAGAGTTTTGTCATTGGCTTCTGTGACAGCAGGAGCAGGTCCGTTATGAGCACACAGTACTTGAGCATGTGTATGCAAATTCTGCTTTGCACTGTTATGCAAAAGACAAATCGTTCAGCTCCTGATCTACACGTTTTTACATCAATACAGGACGTTTTTCCAAAAGGTATGCTCTAGTTCAAACAGCAATTAATGCAGAAAGTTCCATGGCCTGTGTTAGGCAGGAGGTCTGACTAGATTGTCACAGCCATCTCCTCTGCTCTGATCATCTATGAAAGGTAGAAAGCAAAGGCTGGAGATCTTACATATTGTATGTTTGGTCACCAAAGGGTCAATCAAGGAAAGAAAGTGTCTCATGAAGCTCCATTGTGATGCCTCCATAAAATTAAGGGGCACTCTTGATACGTTTGTAAGGAAATTCCAACCAGTCTTCCTTGGACAGATAGCTGATGGCAGGGATGATAAGCTCTGAAGCAGGGTAGGATGTAAACCAAGGAAAGGCAAGAATCTCTTTTAGGTTCCACTAGGGATAGAAGAAGTATCTGAGGCCAATATCTCACCCTTCAAGCATACAGCAAATAGTGCAGTTTTATTAAAATGCAAGTATGACCTGTGTCTTCACAGAATTCCTCTCCTTGCCCTGCCCCTCCACTTATCAAAGTTAAGGGCCTCAGCTCCTAGCAATAATAGGAGTTTTGATCCCAGACTGAGGGCAGTGTGTGCCCTTAAAATTGTGCCAGTGATTGCTGAGTATTGACACCAAACCAAAAATAAAATACCAATTTAGGCAACAATTCATAATGGCTATACAGTAAAGAGGATTATTTTATAACCAAATAGCTCCTTGTTCCTTCAGCTGAACTCTCTAAAACCCCACTCCACCCTGCCAAGAGTATTTAGTGCTGGTGATGGTGAAGGATAAATAGCCCGGCGGGATGAACTCCTCTGTTTATCCACAGATAAGATACAACAAAGTGCAAGGTTCCTCAACCATGAACTGGTGGGATCACCTCTGCGGATCAGTGAAAGTACAGTTGAGTGTCTGTGCCTGCTCATTCCTTAGCCTCTCTGCTGACACTGCAAACAAGCCAACTGGGACAGACATTCGGGTGCACTAAGGACAAGATTAAGGGTTGGCCTATACTGGGAACTTGCACGAGCATAGCCACAACTCTCAGGTGTGTAGATCTGCAGCACTAGGTCATTGGAAGAATTCTTCCATCAGCACAGTTGCTGCCTCTTAGCAAGGTGGATTACTAACACCAATGGCAGAACCCCTCCTGTCAGGATACGCAGAGTCTACTCTCAAGTGCTACAGAGGTGCAGCTGCTGTAGCAGTTTAAGTATAGACCACTGAATCAGAGACCATTGATTCATTTCATACCTATCACTAAGCAGCTATATAACTGTAACACATTTTGATGCATCGTGACCTGGATAGCTGCTTAGAAATCACAAACCTGAGAATGGCTAGGTCAGTGGCATTTTGAAATTATAGGTCCTGATTGGCCAAGAATTGCACACACCCTGTTTTTGTACTCGCTTCTCCTCTGCCTTGCCCATTACCCCATCCTCCTTGTTCATCTCGTCCATCCATTATATCTTGTCTCTGATTATAAGATCAATCAAAAAGACAAGGCAAGGTCCTTGCAATATACTTGTATAGCGCTTAGCTAGCACAATAGGGCCCTGCCCTGGTTAGCCTGTAGGTGTTACTGGAATATAAACATGAAACAGAAACCAGCATCTTATAAATTTTGACAATTAAAATATAGACATACAGTAGCTCCCATTAATAATGAACAATGAATTTTAAATACATTATTACTGCTCTCTTGACCTACTGCAGTGACATCCAACCCTTTTACTAAAAGCATCATCTCTTGCAACTTAACAACTTCTTGTACAATGAATCCTTGTGTTTCCTTGTATGGAGAGGAAGGGGAACGTTTGTTCTTTTTTCAGAGTTTTTACATTAATTATAAGTTGAATGCATCCAGAGGGCCCAACATGTTAATAACAACCCTTCATGACTCTTTCTCGCCTTACACAGACTACTTGCCAGATGACACTTGAAAAACAATAAAAAAAAGTCCAACTAAAGATGAGGTAAAAGCTACATGTTATCTTGCAGTTAGAATATACTGGTATTTTGGGAATCTGTATGTTCAGACAAACAGCAACCCACCCAGGAGAGCAGAATAAAACTTAAGTTTTAGTTGATGAGAGGTCTATGTGAACCTTTTCTTATTTTATAACCTTAAACTTTACTTTCAACATCAGGCTCAAACAAATCTGAAAATTAGAGCAAAATTCAGCAAAACCCACAATTTTAATTTTAGGGCCTATATTTCAGTCCAATGTGTTATGAAGCCACCGATATTTATGAAGCTACTGAATTTTGCATAGTTTCAACCAGGACTGTACTAGGTTCCCTTGAAAATTGGTCCAAGTTTAATCAAAAGAATTACTAATCTCTGAAAGTCTGTCCTAAATTTTGCAGTTTTGAATGAAATTCAAGGCTAATATTTTTCACACCCTCTCAATGTGGTAGCTCGGTTTACCTAACTTTAGTGTAGACCTGGTCTAATTGAGTATTAGTGAAAGCAGCTTTTGGAATCTAATATCACATGCTGAGGAACATGTTAGATTTTAACACTTGAGTCATGCCTTTAGACCAAATCTAAAGCACCATTCTTAAATAGCTAAATATGCTTTTAAAACAGTTATTGGCCAAACCCAACAGTCTCTGCGACAAAGGATAAATGGACACGAATGAGATATCAGAAATGGTAATACACATGAACCTTTAGGGGAACATTTTAACTTCCCTGGACATTCAATAATGGATTTAAAAGTAGCCATCCTTCTACAAAGGAATTTTATCACCCAGTTACAGAGGGAGGCACCTGAACTGGAGTTCATTTACAAGTGCCACACTATCAACTTGGGTTTGAATAAAGACATTAACTCAACAGTGGCCAACCTGTGGCTCGCGAGCCACATGCAGCTCCTTACAGAAATGGGATGGAACCCGGAATTGCTCAGGTCAGCTGCTCTCACACTCTCCGCTCCCGGCCCCCCGCGCACTGCGTCATATCCTGCACGTGCAGGCTGGCGGCACTGGCGAGGGCTCCGCGTGCTGTGGCGGCAGCGCCACTGGAAGCTCCAGGACCCAGGCATAAGGTTGGGGGGGGAGGAGAATTTGGTTAGAGTGGGGAGGAGAGCTGTCTGGCTCTGGGGAAGGAGAGGGAAAGGGAATTGGGTCGGGAGTGTGTGCCTGGCTCTGGGAAAGGTGTGGGGGATTGGGTTGGGGGGGTGTGCCCAGCTCTGGGGAAGGGGAGGGGGATTGGGTTAGAGCAGGGGAGTGCCTGGGGAAGGGGAGGAGAAGAGCAGCCAGCATGCTTCCTGAGACCCGGAATCCCCAGGTACTGGTCCAGTTGTCCCTGTTCTCTCCTCCTGGCCAGACACCTCCCCCCCGCCGCCCTATAAGTACCCTGCCCCAGCCCCCACCAGCACCCTGTCCCCTTCCCCCACCAGCACAGTTGGGGCCACATTAGTGAGGCTTGGGGGTTTTTGGAGGGGTTGTTTTTTTCCATCTCACTTGTGTAGCCCCGACTGACTTTTCTGTGGATCAGTGACCCCTGACTCAAAACAGATTCCCCACCCCTCTCATAAATAAAGACATTGCTGAAACATTTTGAGTTTGACATAATATTTTATTTAAAAATGAAGCTGGGCCAACAAGCCCCCAACTGGGGCCAAGCCCCCATCTGGCTGCAGCATCATAACACTCCTGCACCCCCTCCGGCCCCAAACCTGAGCCTATCACACACTGGAACCCCCTGTCCTGAGCCTCTCGCATCCCCAAACTCCTGCACCCCCACGTCCCCAGTCCTTCTGCCACAACACTCCTGCACCGTTAACACACTGCAAATCTGTGTCCTGAGCCCATCATACTCACAGCCTCCCTGCCCTGAGCGCCTCATGCACCCCAGCCCAAACTCCTGCAACCTCACAGCCACAAGCCTGCGGCTTGC